GTATGTATGTATGTGTATGTGTATATGTATGTATATGTGTGTGTGTGTGTGTATAGACACACACGCACACACATATATACATAAAATTTCTAAAGTGATCGGCTAATCATAAATTGAAACAATAAAAGTATGTGAGTTCATTTTTTTGGAGGTCGCAACTTGACCTGGTTGCAAGTTGCCATAGAGGTCACAATTTTAATTAGGAGCCCTTGCTGCAGCCATGTTTCAAGCCCAAAGAGCATTCACATGAGGGGGCATGTTATAATATACAGCTTTTCATTGGCCTCCAACATTCAACTTCAGATTTTGGTTGAGTTTGTTCCTTGACAAAAGGAATAAAAACAAAAACTCGTGAAGCCATGATATTTGAACATAAAAGAGAACAATAGAAGTATAGAACTCAAGTATAAAGTGCATAAAGACAAAAAATGAAGCCTCAATATTGACTAATGTGTGAATAAATAAAAAACAAAGGATGCTATAAACAAAGACAAAACTGCAGCATTGAAGTGCAAAGTCAAAATGCAGCACAGGCTCTAAAAAATTCTTGTTCCTAGATAGCCACTATACTGGAGTAGTTTTGTTAAAAGGTTTATTTCTTGTGATTCTTTGCCACCTTTATTTGAGTGAATTTGGTCCTATTACTGTATGCTCCTTTGCCAAATATGCCTCATTTATTGCATTGCTCTGTGGACTTTGTGGACTTTGACCTGAGGGAATTTTTTTTAATGATGGGATTTTCAGTGTGAAATTAGATGCCGAACAAATTAGACGCCTAAACTTATGTGCAACTCTCTTTATGCGGACATATAACTAATGAATGCTGTTGTTCAATCATCTAGAATTTTGATGTTTGTTTTCTTCAGATTCACTGCTTGTGGTCTTTGGAAACTATTTCTGAATCCACCTGCTCCATTGTTATAAAAGCTGGTACGCTTCTTCTATATGTAGACTAGATTCCTTTCCATAATTTTATTACCCCCTTGCTATGTATTGAAGTTGCCACATCGAAAAATAAGGAAAAATACAGTAGCATATATAGAAGGGTGAAGCCCTACCTATAAGCTTAAGCTTTTGGGTTATAGTAGTGGATCCTGACTTTATATGCAAGTGGTTAATTTTACTCGACACTCTATCCGTTGTTCTAGGCCCACCAAAATTTTAACATGGTATCAGAGCAGGGGGTTCGGTTCTTCCTGGTGGTTTGGATTTGAGTTTAACGATGTTAGATTTAATCAGGTTTGTTCACATATTACATAGAACTGAATGGAAAATGGGTCAATGTTTGAGTCGGTTAGTTGGTGTTGTTTAGTGTGTTTTACATATTTAATTAATTTAAATAAAAAAAGTTGGGTAGTTTCTAAAAGGAAGTTATGGACAGTTTCTAATGTTAATAGGTGTGTTGGTTTGTAATAGCTGTGTTGGTTTGTTCTCTATTTATATTAGAGAACACAATGAATTTTGTAAATGGTACACATCAATAAAATATTCTACTTTGCTTTGGTCCTGTCTAACAATTGGTATCGGAGCAAAAATCCAATAAGGACCCAACGATCAAAGGGAGCGGTCTGTCTTGTGACCAGGAGTTGTACGATCGGGAGCAGATGGGCTGCCAACTTCAACAATATTCTTCCTCGCCTAAGACAAAAATAGCAGGTGACTAGTTTTTTCCTTTGGCCGAATGATTCCAACCAAACAGCGCGGGAAAAATGAATCACCGGGGTAGATTTCATTTAGTGGCTTGGAAGACGGAAAAGCAAGGGCTTGTTTTCTGGTTGGTGGTCGATTGCAGGTGGCTTATGACCCAGGAAGGAATCAAAGTTAAGAATTTTGTGAAAGTTGTCGAAGGAATAAAAATCGTGCATTGGGAGAAAAGCAAAAATAGATAGTGTGACTACAAGGGGGAATAGTTAACAGTTTGCCAACCTTAACCCGAGGAAGGAGATATGCAAGGCAAACTAATATTCACTAAAAGTGATGGAAAAGAGAAGGTTAAGGAGCATAAAACTGAGAATTGTGGTTGTGGGAGCTTAAACCAAGAAGACTTTGGACGTGGTCAAGGTAGAGGTTGGGGGGTCCGAGAAAAGTCGGGATGGTGGAAGTTTGAAAAGATTCACATTAAGTGTTTCAAGTGAAATGAGTTAGGGCATTTTCTCAACGAAAGTCCAAAATGGGCAAATTTGATTGAAGATGATGATGAATCAACGTTGCTTTGAAGATTAGTGTGAACAAACAATGATTAGGGGCGTGATTATTAGATTTAATTGGGTTTGTTCACATATTACATATAACCGAATGGGTAATGGGTCAATGTTCGAGTCAGTAAGTATGGTGTCATTTAGTCTGTTTTACATATTTAATTAATTTAAATAAAAAATAGTTGGGTAGTTTCTAAAAGGCAGTTATGGACAGTTTTTAATGTTAATAGGTGTGTTGGTTTGTAGTAGTTGTGTTGGTTAGTAAAAGTTGTCTTGGTTTGCTCTCTGTTTATATTAGAGAACACAATGAATCCTGTAATGGTACACATCAATAAAATATTCTACTTTGCTTTGATCTAGTCTTGTCTAACAAGCGATATGAGCTACTCGTCCGTGGTTTGGGTTGAGTTGGCTATAAGAGATTGAGACGCCACCGCTCGTTGTGTGGGCTAGTTATAAGAGATTGAGATGCTAGACCTGTTTGTCGACCTAGTGATAACTAGACCAGGCTAGTTACCACTTGAGGGGGAGTATTGGAGTTCCCGGAAAATAAAGTAGAATACACTAGCATATATAGAACGGTGAAGCCCTACCTATCAACCTAAGTTTTTTTGGTTAGAATAGTGGATCCCGACTTTATATGCAAGTGGTTAATTTTACCTGATACTCTAGCCGTTGTTCTAGGCCCACTAGAATTTTAACACTATGCATGGTGCTTGAATTCTCAAGTACATGGCCTGTTTGTTTCAGAGCAAGATTAATAGTCATATTTGCCTAATATGTCTTGTACTAAGGCCATATTCTCTTCATCACCTGATCTGTATAGTTTTGGTCTGATTAAAAAAATTCTGATCTGATTTGAATGAAGTTATAATTAAAGTTGTTTCTGATGTGATTTGATCTGATTCCAATAAGAATAAGTAATAAGTAAAAAAAAAGTTGAAGAGACACCAATGCAAGTTATAGATGTGCCAGTGTGATTCCTATGGTGGTGTTGTTGACAATGCTAACCCGAAATCTAAATCAGCTTACATTTTAGACTTTCTTTTCGGCACCATTCCATCTCATCAAATACGTTTTAAAAGCAAGCACGTAATTCTGCTACCCTTTTATGGAACATACAAGTACTTTTTTTAAAGCATTCAATGTAAACAGGTGCACATTTTAAGAAATGGTGTGTGATGCAATCTAAAATCAAGGCTGGTGCAATCAGCGAGGTACGTCGTATTGTCATGCACGCATTTTCTTTTCTTCTCCCTTTTCCCCCCTCGTCGTGCAAATATCTCCCAATGATGAATCTTAAATCACTTACTTTTCCAGTATAAAAAGGAGGTGGAGCTAATGTTAGATGTGGCTCGCACATACATAACTTCCAAAACTTCAGCAAATGATCAGAACAATATAGCCGTGCCTTCTCCATCAGTTACTGAAGAGCTTTGACAAGGTCCAGTACACATAATGATACTCCATATATATAGAGCTTCAGTTTGTTGTGATATTTATTTTGCCTTTTAATTTTTCTGTTAAGACATGTCCCTAAACAGAAACAGATGTGTGTTCTGTTGGTGATCCTTCTCATTCATATATGTTTTTTTATTTACATGCTTCATCTCTATAGTGGAATTTGTTGGCCTTGACAATACTGTCAGACAATTTAGTGATTATTGAAGGTGTATATTGCTCCTTTTTTTAATTTAATTTGAATTTTCATTTTTCTGTTATTGTTCATCACTGAGGCTTCTTGATTTTAGATCATATATATGTAGTCACCTCAGCCTGCTTAGTCGATTGGCAGATCTTCGATCAACAAGCATCTTTGACAATACCTCATTCCTTCTGCTTCTTCTCTAAATTAGTTACGCACAACTCCATTGCACGCAAATCTTCTCCCTTCTTGGACGTCAGCATTAAGAGTCTTTTTGCATCAGCTCTTCTCCCATCCTCCTCGGTGTCGTTACATCTCTTTTCCAGCAATCTTTCTTCTTCCCTTCCTATTCGGATGCATTCTTCCTGCTCTAGGCAAAGATATGTTTCTAACTTCTGATTACGATTGTGGTCATCATTCAATTTAAAGTTGGTGTTCAATATTCACTCGTGAGCATGTTAAATAAAATAATTATTTAGTATATTTAATATTATAAATTATAATTATATATGGTTGTTACATACTCCCTCCGTCCTAAATTATAATGCATGTTCACTATTCACAGGGTCAAACTTCATTCACTTTCTTTCTCAATTTTCGTTACCAATTTGATAAAATAAAGTACTATTGTCACTACTAGTTTTGTAGATCTTTTGATATAGTATTTTAATATGTAATTTTTATTTTTTAACTATATACCATTTGTCATATAAAATGATTTGAAAATAATTTCAGTCAAACATCGTAAACCGAAACAGGCGTTATAAAATGGGACGGAGGGAGTATTATAGTTTGAGTTATTATTATATAGTATTACCTTATATTATTAATGGAGTATTCTAAAATATATTCGTCCACCTATAAATACATGCCTTGTATTTCTCCAACAATATATCATAATTATTTTATTTTCACAGTTGGGAAATCATGGTGATCATCTCTAAAGTGTAAACAAATCCACCCATCAAACACAACCCATTGCATGGAGAACATACTATGATTATTGATGAATGAGAAAAAAAATATTCCACTCTGTTAAATTTTTAAACTCAATTAAATAAGACTGTAATGAGCACATATTAGTATAAAAATAAATTAATTAAAATTTTCTTGTAGAGAATTTTCCAATTTTATTTAATTTCATCATATTAATATCGAGTAATATACAATATTTGTTTAAGACGATGTAATACACAATATATATTTAGAGCAATTGATAATTAATGTTTGTTCACCGCGACTCTAAAAAATCAAACTAGACGAATACATTTGAGACAAAAGGAGTATTGTCTATTAATGTTTTATTCTTTATAAAAACAAATGACAATATTTTCTTTATTTAAATTAAACGTACATATAATAATGTATAACCGGTCCGGGCCGGTCAAGGGACATTCCAAATAGAAGTAATTAACAAGTGAGGTTGTTCCCCGGGTCGACCCCGAGTTGCCGGCAATAATCGGTGTAGTACTGGACCCTCTTGGCCACCGTCGCCGGATTAGCGCCGTTGCACTCCAGCCTCCCGTTGACGGCGCGGATGGTGGCGCCGAAGCCCTGGCCGGCGGCGAGGAGGGAGTGGCAGTTGTTCATCCAGAACCAGAGGGCGGTCTTGAAGGAGATGACGGGGTCGGCGGCGACGGCGTCGGGGTTGTTGAGGCCGTCGAAGCCGATGCTCTTTCCGGCGGGGCCGTAGTTGAAGTTCCAGGAGAGCTGGATGGGGCCGCGGCCGTAGTAGAGCTTGCCGGCGGCGCAGGGGTACTGGGTGTTGCTGCTGTCGCAGTAGTTCGCCGATGCGCCGTTTATCTCGTTGATGTAACACATGTCTGCATGCATGCATGCATGATATATTTATATGTCATCCACTTTAATGTTTAAATAATACTGAGTATAACTAAAATGAAAAAAAAATGATTAATATAAGGAAAAAAGATTAAAATAAGGATAAAACATTGGAAATATAATAAAATAAGAGTTGTGTGTTTCTATTCTTGAGACATGAGTTAAAAATGCATATATACAATCTCAATCATAACTATATACATTATCAAAAATTATTATGAAATGTCCATATATATACAATGTCACGTTATAACAATGCGAGCTCCTACTTTAATAATAAAAATACAAAGCTCTTATTTTAATACTTTCCTTGTGTTTTACTTCTATTTAGAGTGTCTTATTTAATTAAAAAAATCAAACTATATACTCCTTCGTTCTGAAAAATAATTCCTCTTTCATTTTTTCATTTCCAACAAAACATTTCCACTCTCTATTAAAAAATCTTTTTTACTCTTATCTTTTTCATACCTTATTTATCACATCATATTTTTTCATTAATAATATATCCATAACATCTTATCTTTACCTATCACATCAACTGCAAAATTAGAAGTCAATCAACTACAATTTAACACTTCCTTATTTTTATACTTGGTCAAATTAGGAATCCTTTTTGAGAACGGAGGGAGTATAAAAATAAATCTGCCAAAAATCTAAACAGAATTTGTTTTTGGAAAAGGATGGTGTACAAAGATTTAAAAGTTGTGGTTGAGATAATGAAGTGAAGAAAAAGGCGTTATAAGTCGCATCATGCTTCCTATAAATTAAATGAAATTAATTAGTTAATAAGCTTATAAATTGCAACGCCCAACAAAAAACAAACCAAACAAAGGGATACTTCATATATGGATCTTTCTCAAAGAGATGTATTGTTCTTTTCAATCCATCAAAAAAAGATATGTTATATTTTTATATTTAAGAATATTTTATTTAATTGATCGGTAATATTTTTATTATGCATTTGCATAAATTTCAATTATATAAAATTTTTAGTTTGTTTTCTTGTACATATGCTAGCTACATGCCGTTGTACAGTAATAAGTACGTACCATGTTGCCCAAGTGGGAAAGGGACCCATACTTGAACCTTTTTTTTTTTTACAGAAAAAATAATACGTACTCGTATTACTTATTAAATGCGGAGTATATTGTTTTTATTAATTGAGTGTTCAACAATGACGAATGTCTTAAAATATACTCCGTAGTATAAACTAAAGGATAAAATTAAAAATAAGAGAAATTTGCCTAAATATGACTAAAACATAGTGACTTTCTTAAAATAGGATCATATATTCTTATTTTACAATGTAGGACTATTGATCATTATCTAAATATATTAATATACTGATATTTTTTATAAGTTCGATCGAATAGTTGTGCTTTTCTAAAATTAAGGAGCTGGATACTTATGAAGAAAAATTAAAAAATGGGCTTTCTATTAAACATTTTTATGGAAAAGGAGCAATACTTGTAAGTTCACTAAGTTCGCTCAGCACTTTTCATCCATTTTTCAATACACCTTTTTAATTAAAATATCTCGCATTAATCAATAAATTTGAAAAGGAATAACAAACCAATAAGCTCTTGAATTTATTTTTAAAAATTGTTCCATAATGAGTTCTTTAAATCAAATATTACCAAATATAATACAAGTATTATTTTCTACCTATAGTCCCCAAAGGACTGCTGGTTTTGAAATGATTTTGAAAAATTAAGGGCCACAAATTTAATATTTTAGAATTAATTAAGAATTAAATATGAGAAACCATATCTTATAAAAATCTATTTCTTGAATTTACCCCCCAAAAATAAAAACAAACACTTAAAAGAGAATGAGCCAACTAGCTTACGTCCGGTTTCATGGGTAACGTGGGCGAAGAACGCTGCAATTTCCCGCTTAGAGTCGTCGGCGGACCCCGCAGTTCCGAACTTGGGGTACGCCGCCGTAGCTTTAAGGAAGGAGGCTCTGGTGTAGAACCCCTTCCCCTCGCAACCGGAAGCAGCCTGGTTCGCTATCCCGCTAAAGAAGGCATCGGTGACCACGCCGCCGCCGCTCGGCGCGGCGGGGGTGGAGGAGTAGCACGGCCCTCCCCTGCACCCCACGCCGCAGTAGGGGTCGCCGGTGCCGCAGTAGCCCCACTGGCTGCAGCAGAGCCCCTGCGCACACCCACAGTTTTGGGCTAAACTTAGTGGTTGAAGGGCTGAGATTGTGAAGAATGTTAATAGAAGAAGAAGGATTGAAGATGGACCCAAATTCATGTTTTTAATTAAATAAGAAAACAATGAATTCTAGTGCTTTATTAAGTTTTGGGTTTTGGGGAGTGTATGTGTATAAAATATGAATGTATGAATGATGTATAATTTGTTCATGATATGCATGGACAAACGGTATTTATAGTGTAATGTGTTTTGTACGGTAGCTAAAAAAAAAGTCTGCAACGAGCCTAAATTGACTAAGTCACATTATTAATGCCTCTGCGCCGCGTTGGCACATATCATGCTCCCACCTCCTAAAAAAAACCCCACTTATCCAATATTCCAAGGAGCCGAATCCATAGATATTTTTTTCAATTGACTTTCCACATTTGTTTATGTAACCAAGTATTCCTTCCGTTTTAAAATTAATTTTTTAGTTTGACTTTTACATTCAAACTTTTTCAATTTTGACACTATATATATTACGAAAAAAATACTTTGAATTTTCATATAAATTTATTATTAACAATAGATTTATTTTGGAATATAATTTTGAAATATATAATTTTTATAAATATACCGGAGTACATCTATATATCTTTTTACTACTCTGAGGATAATAATCTACTCATCACATTCTACTTTTATCCATCACACAAAACTAGGTATTTTGAAAGTCAACACAAAATATCTCTACGATCCTTTAAAGTTTCTAAAAGTCAAATAAAAAAAATTGAAATCCAGCTATATCGTTATACCATGTAACTTTTATTTAAGTAATGATTAAAATTTTAAATGTTTGACCTAAAATATTGAACTACACAAGATGTTCCAAGAGTATCTCATACTCCCTCCGTCTCAGAGGATTCGTCCAGTTTGATTTTTTCGAGTCAAATTGAACAAACTTTAATCATCAATTACTCTCAATTTATGTTGCATATTAATACAATTAAATAAATTTTTAAAGGTTTTAAACAAGTTAAATATAGTAAAATCACTTTTGTACTAAAATACATTATAGTTTTTATTTAATTAAGATTTAAAGTTCGTTTAGTTTGACTCGAAAAAACTCTGAGATAAAAGATAGTAATACGGAATTAAGGAAACAGCATGCATGCAATTTGTGCATTTGTTGACTTTGACATTGCATATTTGTATTAATGTCAGAAGTTTTAGACTGGGAAGCTCTTATATTTTTGTGAAATTAGTATTCAAAACTAATTGGTCATTTCTCTTACAAGTGAATTGATAGAAAAATAAATTAAGTAAATGATTATCATAACATTATGAAAAATGCTTGTATAAGTACTATTAAGAAGGTTCATGAATTTTAATTAGATAGATTGTATGTCCACTAAAGAATTTGTGATCTTTCAAATTGATTGTAAGGTTTATTGAATTTTGTTTTACATCCATCCGGGACCATCCCAAATTAAATTTGTAGTCTTATTTTTCATTTTGAGTTTCCTAAACTTTTACTCAATTTTCCTCATAAATAAGAACTTATCTACTCCTAGTATATATAATTATTTATATCATTTACAAAAAAATCACGTACATATATAATTTCATTTTATTTATAAGCATGCTAAATTGAAATAAATAGGTAAAAGATATACTCCCTCCGTCCCAGAGTGTTTGTCCACTTTCATTTTTACATGCACACCATCCAATGCATTTCTTTAATCCATTTTATCTTGTAATTTGTATATTAAAAAATTATAGAAATTATACATTAATAATCTCTATATTAAGACAAATCAAACAAGATCACACATGACTATATTTAGGCTTACACATTGAGAGAATTTGATGAGTCAAAGTGTTTAGATGAACAGTTCCAGAAGTCAAAAGTGGACGAAAACTGAGGGACGGAGAGAGTATGACAAAGGGAAGATGCTTATTATGTTCTTATATTTTACTCCATGATATCTCATATCTGCACCGCTATTGTTGTCCTGTTTTAGTTTATGATACTTGAATTAAACTTTTTTATGCCATTTATTTAAATAAATGTGTAGAACTTAAAAAAATATATCTATATATTTAAAAACTACATCAAAGTTTTACAAAACAATAAGTGATTTAATTATACTATTATCGTAACAAGCAATAGATGAAAACCATATAATATTCACTACCATCTAAGAAGTATCAAAGAGTTTGGAGAGTTTATTATGAAGAGTAATAAGAGGCAATAATTAGATTCATCAAAATAACTTTTTTTTTGTTATGTAAAAGAGTCACGGATATGTTAGTTGTTTGGCTTGCATTACTTTGTTGGAAGTTGATGATAATATGATGAGTAATGCTAGGTGTACACCAAAAAGTGTACCCCAAATGTACACCACCCTCTTTTCATCCACACTTTTTTATATGATTTTTATTTATTTATTTTTTTTTTTGAATTTTTTTGCCCTTTTTAGTGGACAAGGAGGGGGTGGGGGATATTTGGGGTACACATTTGGTGTACCCCTAGCATTTTTCCAATATGATTGCTTTCCTTAATTAAAAAAAGAAGAAATAGTATCTTACTCCCTCCGTCCTAAAATTAATTTTCTAGTTTTATTTTTGCAGTCAAACTTTTTAAACTTTGACCGTAGATTAAGAAAAAAATACATTGAAATTGCATATAAGTTATTAGCAATAGCTTCATTTTGGAATATAGTTTTGAAATATATAATTTTTATAAAATATATTTATATAAAAATTGAGATATTGATGGTCAAAGTGTCACATTGGAGACCGTGAAAAGTCAAATGAGAGGTTAATTTTAGGACAGAGGGAGTATTTATTACTCGTATGGTTGTTTGTAAACTGGTTGACATTTCTGATTTGACCTTATCCATCTGACTTTTTCTATTTATCGGGCAGTCCAAGTCAACTATAAATATATTTTGATTTATCAGAGGCTCATTACATCAAAACGTGCACGTCCCATATAATTAATCCGTAATTGGCTGGCATCGTGTGAGAACAATCTAATTAATACGGTTATTTTAAATTATTTAGTTGACTCTGCCAAAAAAAATTATTAATTAACTTCACAAGTGGATTTGTATATCTAATATGTGGTTTTGTAAAAGTATTACCAACTAGAATATATATTTCTCGTAACAGAGTATTCCATTGGAATTGGCAAAATTTTAAAATTATTTTGTTGACTCTACCAAATAAATTTATTTGTTTATAAATTTATTTATTTATTTTTCGGGATCCTCTCTCCCTCTCAAGGTCAACCAAAAAAATTTGGGCTACAATTTCTTTCTTATTATTAATAAGTTCATAAGCAGAATTATGTGACCCTAAATTTTTGACTTTGTGAAATTATTATCAAGTACTATATGCTTCTCAAGGATATATCATTATATATTGAGACCGGCCAAAGTTTATAAAATCTATATACAGAGTAAAAATAATGTGAAGATAATGTGAGTAGTGATTTCGTGCATTCAAGGTCCATGCCTAAAAGCTAAATCTTCTCACAGAAGTTATTGAGTTTAGAAACTAGTGTAGAAAAAGTACTGTTTCACCCAAATTATTGTACCTAATGCTAATACATTAATCGTAATGCAAATCCAAACCCTAATTCTAATCTCATAATCTTAATTTAAATTCCAATCCTAATTCCCTAATCTTAATCTTAATCACTTAATCATAATCATAATCACTTAATCTTAATCTCCTAATTCTAATACTAATACCAATGAATCCACATGACCAAGGCCTATAAAATTGAAATAGACCTACGGATCATTAAAGAATTTGCCAAATAATGTTGAGCTTATACAGTTTAAGAAACGAGTCTAGCTTAGACCATGCAATTGGGTGAATCAGTTCGGATCTTTTAGGTTCGGGTCTCTTTCTAATATACTTCGTATGTTATAATCGGTTCGGGTCGCTTCAGTTCACTTTCAGGTTTAATTTGGTTTGATTTTTTCCCGGTTTCGGTTTGGTTTCAGTTCGAGTTTATTTTGGTTTGAGTTTATTTTGGTTCGAGTTTATATCGATTCGGATTTATACCGGTTCGGGTTTATATCAATTTGGATTTCGAGTTTATACCGATTTGAGATGAGATCCCTTAGTATTAAAATTTCTAGCGTTAGCATTGTGTGGAGCCTCCCCTCCATGTGTGTATTGGGGAGGGGGTATATATACACGTGTCAGCAACAATGAGTCGGCATATCCATCGATTAATGTTGTTACGATGATAATATGAACTATATATACTCTATATAGAAATAGATAATCAACTTAGTTTAAGTGATTAAATATGAAATAAAAGATTTGTACATCAAGTTAGTTGTACCTACTCCCTCCGTCCTAATTCTTTCTTCACAGTTTGACTTTTCCCCATTTTTAATTTTTGGCTTTGACCTCAAATTTAACCTCATTAAAAAAGATTTTTTGAATTTTTTTTTTGCAATCATTCAAAATATAGAGTTAGAAGATAATTGGTGTAAATACATGAGAGTATTAATGTTATTTGGCATCTTTTTTTAAAGGGAAGGTAGTTTTAGGACGGAGAAAAAGGGGAAGTGGGAAGAAAGTTTTAGGACGGATGGAGTATAATTTAAATATGCTTTTCTGAAAAAAGACATCAACAAATGAGCTATTAAGTTTGACTAAATTTGAGTTCAATTTGTTTTGAATTTGATCAATATTGGGTTTAATCGGTTCTGGATTTAATTGGTTTGGGTGTAACCAGTTCAGGTTCAATCGAATTCGGATCTGAACCGGGTCTGAATACATTCGGTTTGGTTCAGATCATTTCATGTGTTCGGGATTAATTTGGATTTTTAACTTTCGAGTTATTTCAAGTTCAGTTCCGAGTTATTCAATTCTGATTATTGAGTTCGAGTATGTTTTGCCTAAGTCTAGTTTAGCTAAACTATTGAAGTCCAAGTTATTGTGAAATGGTCCATGTAGTACAACCCATGTGAAATGATTTCTTAATTGTTCGATTTGTTATTGTATTACAGAGTAATAATTCTTGAAATATTATCATTAAATATCTGAGGGATTAAATTTCACCCACTTTTTAAATTGACCATCTAATAAATAGTGCTTTTTAATTGGCCAACTTACAAAATAATAATAATGGCCACTTTGAATATGAAACGTGCTAGATAGCGACGCTGCATGCAACATGCACCCCTAGTAATGGCCAAAATCAAGTTTGTTCTTTTTTTTCGTTATTAATTTTTTCCCCGTTTTTTATATTATACCAACTAAATACACAAAATTAAAAAACAATTGATTTAAAAACTCATAAATGACATGAATTAAAAAAAGTAAACGAAATTGAAAGAGAGTACAAAATATTCATCTTCTGAGTATATTTATATCAATGAGAGATAAAGAAATAAAAAGAGAATACGTTTAAAAATATATTAAGATTGGATGGTTTAGATAGAGGAGAGTGTAGGGGATTTGAAATTTGATATTTAAAATTTAGATTTCAAAAATATTTTTTTATGTCATTGAATTGGGAAGAGTGCGCGTGGGAAAGTAAAAAAAAGGTCAGAAAGAGCACCATGACCGTGGCCACAACATGGCTCACGTTGGGCGAATCACGCAAGGGGGCGGGAGCGGTATTACGCGTGGTCACGCAGGGAGTTGGCAACGCCACGGGGGACCATGAAAAGATGGCGGTGGGACGTTACGCCAAGCCTTAGTACGTAGCACACGCAAAAATATGGATTTAGAATGAATTCTAGTTCAAAATTTTCCAATATCACAATTTAAATTCCATAATACGGGAAAAATATTTAAATTTTATAATTTGATTTTTCCAAGTCAAAATGAAATCCTGAGTCGATTTGAAAAAATAGTTAATCATTTGGTTTTTTATTTCTTTGACCGACTTTGACTAGTCAAAAGCCAAACAAAAAATTTTAAACAAAAAAATCAAAATTTAAATTTAAATTTAAATGTTAAAAAATTAAAAATAAAGATTTAAATTTAAAAATAAATAACTAAAAAATTTAAATATAAATAAAATTTAAAATATAATATTTAAAATTTCAAGACCAAAGTTTAAAATTTAAAACTTATAAACTAAACACTAAAATTAAAATATTAAAACTAAAAATTTAAAAGGACAAAATTTTAGTTCAAATAAAAAATTAAAAATTTTTAATTTTTAAACATAAAGTTACTCCATAAAAATTACAAAATGATACTAAAAATTCAAAGTTTAAAATTAAAATTTAAAACACTAAAAATTATATTTTAAAATTAAAAAATTAAAAATACAATGTATTAATTAAAAATTTAGTGATTAAAAATTTTAAGTATAAGTTAAAATTAATAACTAAAATTAATAACTAAAATTTAAAAAATTAAGGGTAAATTTCACCAATGGTACCTGAACTTTGACTAGTCAAAAGCCAAACAAAAAATTTTAAACAAAAAAATCAAAATTTAAATTTAAATTTAAATGTTAAAAAATTAAAAATAAAGATTTAAATTTAAAAATAAATAACTAAAAAATTTAAATATAAATAAAATTTAAAATATAATATTTAAAATTTCAAGACCAAAATTTAAAATTTAAAACTTATAAACTAAACACTAAAATTAAAATATTAAAACTTAAAATTTAAAAGGACAAAATTTTAGTTCAAATAAAAAATTAAAAATTTTTAATTTTTAAACTTAAAGTTACTCCATAAAAATTACAAAATGATACTAAAAATTCAAAGTTTAAAATTAAAATTTAAAACACTAAAAATTATATTTTAAAATTAAAAAATAAAAAATACAATGTATTAATTAAAAATTTAGTGATTAAAAATTTTAAGTATAAGTTAAAATTAATAACTAAAATTTAAAAAATTAAGGGTAAATTTCACCAATGGTACCTGAACTTTAGCTGGAATTTCGAAGTGGTACCTGAATTTCAAATCCTTTCACAAAAATCCCTGAACTTACACAATCCTTTCACTAATGAGCCATTAGCCCGTTTCTAGGTTAACTTCCGGTCATTAGGGCCAAATTCGAATTTTATATATTTTAAAATTTTCAATTTGACCCCATTTCTTCTTTTCTTTTCTTCCAGGCCCCGCCGCCGCCGCCCGCCGGTCAAAGTCGCCGGAAAATGAACTTTTTCGGATTCCGG